TGAAAAGTTTACTTACTTAACCTGTAGTTGAGCATTGCCTTATTGTATATGGATTGCATGCAGCATATACATGCATGTTTGTAATACAGCATTTGTTTACACAAAATATGAACATGTGCTGCATGGAATGAATGTGTCGCTTTAACTTCTTCAACTGATTATGGCTGATAAACTTGCAAGTTATCCTTGAATGAAAATAGACTAGTTGACTAAGTTGCATAATAATAATCTATAATTTGCATTTGCAGTTGGTAACAATACAAGTAATTAACATATCAATAACTTCTATTGTTTCTAGAAAATTCAAGCATGTAATTTCATTGGTTATGCACTATAAATTGCCATACCTGCCTCAAATGCGAAAACTGTGGAAATAGACACAATTTTGTATTTTAATTAATCAACTGCTAAGTGCTAGTGACAACAGATTTACAAATGTCAATTAACCTTGTAATTAAATTTTTTTTTGTGTCATATGTACACATCATAGTGGTATTATTATTAAGTCATGTGACCTATTTTTATTTATTTGGAATATATTACTAATACTAGAATTACATACACAGATTGTAAAAGAATCAAACGTATATGCCACATGATTGTCACAACTCGGTCGACGTATGTTCTCGCATTGGAGTAAGATGCACAAAGCCGGGCGTACCCGACCTTAGCTGTGGAATCATAGCCCTATGTTGCCGACCGCATTATTTACGTGACTGACTCTGGCCGGCCCATAGGGCTATGGGGCCTTGTGCGACTGAATACCGGTTAAAATCCACATGCCAAATTTGTTCGTTGCGAAAATCATATTTTAAGACCTTCGAAAGTACTCACTATGTTTATTTACTTCCAAACAATGACCAGAACCTATTTGCGCTGTGAAATGATGAAGGTGGTCATAAAAAATTGACTTTATTTACCGTACACCGAGTCGCAGAAAAATAACAAGACGAAAGACGCCATTTTGGACTACAGAGTTACGCGAGACCTATAGCAAATTACGCGAGACCTATAATTTTGTACCACGTGACCAAAATCAGTAGATAAATTGCGTTTATGCAACTAGTTTCTATTATTAAACAAAAATCATACAATTATAAATACTGTATGTGATTGCTTTGTTGGAACAATTAGAATAACGGGAAGAGTGAGTTTTATTCTTCCTCCACTGTATCACATGACCGCCAAACGAGATTATATCAGAGGTACATTACTTGGGGTTAGTAACTACGGTGACATGATACCAAGATCCCGTCACAATCTCGCTCTCGCATAAGCGTTCCAACTCAGAAAAAATGCGAATGCGCATGCCCGAGGTAACTAGGATACTGGGATGTCCAGGTGGATCAAAATAGCTGCCCACGATATGACGGATTACGAGAACTATATTTTCTGTACATTTTCGATGTATTACATTTTTCACTATGATGGTGACAAGAAAAGTTTATTTTTTTCATTACAAACCTTGAACATTGATATGCGTCATGTCAGAAGGTCGTAGCCTCAGTCTCGCTATCTACGAGAAGAGACTTGAATGGGATCTTGACATGATGTCACCATACAGTACTATGCGAGTTGCAAACCCCAAGTAATGTACCTCTGATTATATTTATTCTGCGCTAGGGAGTGTGGGATGTCAATGGCTGTCGTTTTCTCGTAATTTGCTTGTTTTCCGCGGTACCGGTAATTGTAAAATATCACAAATTATTGCTTATTTATAAACACAAATTGCAAACAAAAGTTTGTATGTTATTCATCCAGCTATCAATTCACAATAAAGGTATGTCACACCATCGTAATCGAAAGCAAAAGCGATTTAATTTACGTATGCCAGATTTCTGTTTTTAAACGGTGATAGATCCCGTAGCTCTATGTTCGACGTACAACAACAAAATTAAAAAAAAGACGTCCAAATGAAATTGTTTGGGCGAAATTCGATTGTAGGTCGCACCAAAGAGCTACGGAACCACAGCTAACCCGACCTGTGACCTCCATTCGGTCAACAGACGACCGGCGCACAGACGTCCCAGACATAGCACTTGCATT